GCTGGGCTATTTAGGCATTTAGACATACGCGCCCTGCTGGGGGGGGGGGGCAGATTCTGCCCCTGTCTAACTTCCGAACCGATGGTCATAGAAAGACGGGGAAAACGGCAATCGAGAGCTCTCAACGAGGCGGATCTTAACCCTCGCCCGTAAACGGCGATCTGCCACCTTCGCCCATGCAGGGGGGGGGGGGTTGGTGCGACCCCCCCCCCTTGGCGTTTGAAAACGGAGCGTCGTAGAGCTTAGCGGAAAAGACCAACGGATTGCTCTCGCCGAGATCTCGCGATTGGTGGTATATTTTTTGGTCCTAGGTCAACATTTGACCTACTTTTGACCGGTCAAAGGTCAAATTTTCGGAAAAATAGACTTTTTTCAACTTTCCGTGGCGATTGCGGCAAAACGGTGGGAGATATCGACTTGAAACCTTCACTATCGTGTTCCTTGATCAATTCTCTATCGTTTGGTATGTATTTCGTTTCCCTAGCTTTAAAAATGGCGCGTTGGGAGCGCCGGAAATCGGCAAGGTCACAGTCGGCGGCAGAAATTCGAAAAATCAAAATTTAAATTTTTGAAATCTGATTGTATTTTTGGATTTGGAAGGTCCATTTGCTCCCTATAGAAGCTAATATTGCTGCATATTCCCATTGAGGTGACAAGAATTAGCTAAATAGTGGTTCGGGCGCTTTTCAAAAATAGTACCGGACGCTGTTCCTCTTGTGACGTCATAGCTCCGTGACCTGACCTGACCCGGTCAAGTTTCTTATACCATATGATAGCCAATACTTGCCCCAACATGCATGGGAAGTTTCATCACGATCCATCAACCGATGTCCGTACCACCGGCAGGAAACCTCGGGCGTTGGCACTCAGTTTGTGAAAATCCGGCCGGAGGCTGTTCCCTTTGTGACGTCATAACTCCGTGACCTGACATGACCCGGTCAAATTTTTTTCATCAAAAGATGCGCAAGGTTTGCCCCATAAGGTACCCAAAATTTGGCGGCGCTGCGCGCCGCCGTTTTTGCACTATTTCCGAAAAACCTCAGGGGGGGGGGTTGCACCAACCCCCCCCCCTACATGGGCGAGGGTTAAGAGCCCATTTTTTTGCTTAAGTAGGTCAGAGGTCAGGTCTAGGTCAGGTCAAGGGTACAAAATGCAAGTTTCTAAAGTATCGGCCTTGCACCGTAGTTTCCAAAGAAATGACTGAGACTGATTGCCCAAAACGTGTTATTAGGCTACCAGGACAATAATCGCTGCATACAATGTCATGCAAAGGTCAAGGTCAACGTCAGTTCAGGTCACCAAAAACGATATATAGAAAAGGGCATGTGCGACGCATGTTTTATGGGTCATTTTATTCATAGAATTCCATAGGCACAATCACTAAGTGATATGGACCACATCTGGATGAATCTCAGGGCGAGGCCGCCAGGTCAAGGTCAGGTCAAGTGAGGTCAAATTTTGAAGTTGGTTGTTAAAACCTTATAAGGTGTCTACCTGATGCAGTTTTTCACGGCGAATCAACTGGTGCTATTTTTGTTTCCGGACGAGGTCTAGAACTTCAAAAAAAAATCAAAAATTGTATGTGTCGTGACGTCATAAAAGTTTGAATAAATCCCACATTTTTGAACCGATTCATCTAAAAATTGCTATGTAGGTGCACATGGACCACTTCTCTGACATGTATTCCGTTTTATTCGATACACTCAAAATGTTGAATTTTTTTAATGATGTTTCCAAAAAAAAAATCAATTTAAAAATTGGGCCAAAATCCAATATGGCCATATGATAGACAAAGTAGAATCACGTATAACCTTTTTGTTACGTCTTGATCCCCCCTTAAAAATGAAGATGTTAGCGGCGTTTGAAATTTTACCGTTTTTGAGGCGAAAATGGCTGACATGACGTCACTTAGTCATTTTCTCAACAACAAAATCCGACGGATTTCGCTCAAATTTTCAGGAATCGTCTTAAATTGATGTATGATAAGGTACTGAAAGTTTGATGTCGCTGGCGTAACGCGTTTAGAAGTTACTGGCGAAAACCGGGAGGGGGAGATTTTGCCCCCCTCCCCCCAGCGCGGCGGGGCGCGGATTAAGAATTTTGTCAACTTTGCGGTCAGATTGCTTTCAAATAGCCGAAGGAAGTAGTAAGTTATACCTACTCTGATCACATTGGCATCGTAGGTGTGTACTTCGCGGTTTTAATTGGTCAACTTCTTGTCAATGTATATCCTACTTTGATGTATGGATGTTGCATAAGGTCGCCTTGGCCGAGTGTCCATCAGCTCTGTCATTCTATTTCCGATTTATTCGTAACTTTCTCGATTGCGGGACGCGGCAATCAAGTCTTCTGTAGGTATTTCGAGCACCTCAGGAATAATAGGTTGGAGAATGAGATCAAAAGATCTTTACGCCCGGTCAGGGGAAGAGGAGGAGCTTAGATAATTAACCCACGAGCCGCTGGGGGGCATAAAGTTGCCCCCCTTTACGTTTTGTGAAATATCTCCGAAACCTGATGAGCTACGAACGTGAAACTTGGCATAGCTTCAAATGAATACCTAGGCAATGTTTGAGGAAAGTTTGGTGGTTGTAGCACCTAAGATGACGTCACAGTGACGTCATAAAGTTTTGTCGTTTTCCGATATGGACCGTTTCTGATGACGCTGAGCATGAAACTCGACTGTAAATGAACTAGACAGCACCTGCTGTCATCCTAAAACATCTAACTACACTTCCATCTAGTTTCTGACCAATAATCGGCCCTTTATATTCGGTCCCATATATCTGATGTATCGTGAGGAATATGAGAGTCGCAAATCTATAACTTCACTTATGACGTCACTGTGACGTCATTTCAAATGGGGTCGACACCAAATTTGGACACAACCTCGGCTAGGTATTCAGGAAGATGTGTTCAAAGTTTCGCTTCTCTATCTCTTCGCGTTGCGACGATATCGTCGCAGAAGTAAAGGGGGGCAACTATATGCCCCCCCCCAGCGGCCGGCGGGTGGCGCGGAGGCCCAGCGGCCGCCGGGTTAAGCCTCGCCGGCCGAGGGGGGGGGGGGCGGGTGCCGCCCCCCCCCCCATAGTTTTTTTTTGCGATAGCTCCGAACACGCCGGCGATAGAGAGCTGAAACCTGGCATACCTGACCTTTGGTTCAAGCCGGATCTTTTGAAACCAACAGCATTTTCGGGTCAGGTCAGGTCACTGACCTATGACGTCATAAGTGAGCCTCTGCACGGTCTTCAGATGTCGCAACTTCGCAACGCCCTCACTGCCAGAGGAGCTTTCACAGGGAAAAAAAAACTTGCAGGATCTAGTATCCGTCATGAGTCTCACATCTTGTGTATCTAGGATTTTTCCTAAAGGTCATATGAGGTCAGGTCATTTTCGTGACCTCACCATTATATGTCAATGGGGAAAAATGAAAACTGCTATTCTGGCGCCGGGAACGATCTCCAACTTTCTCAAGCACACAGAATCTCGTGATTTGATGCACTCCTTGCAAGGTTAGATGCGTCACTTTTGCAATGTTGACCTTGCGTGACGTCATTTATGACGTCATCAAGGTCATATTAGTTTTTCGTCAATAACTCTTGATCAAATTGAGCTAGCGAGTCGGGGAAGCCTTCAATGGACTCAGGAAGACCTGTCAAATCCAATGAAATGCGACATGACCTCTTTCGACCAACTTCGTGACCTGGGGGTGCTGACCTGACCTTGACCTGAGGTCAACACCCCAAGTTGACCTGACCCGAACAAAAAGTATATCATTCGACGCGCCTGAGCAAGGCAAAAACGATGCTGCCAAAATCGCGGCTCTGCGGCCGTTTTTTTTTTTTGCGAAGTTATTCACCAAAAACTGAACCGTACCTTGGGGCGCTTGACCTGACCTCAGAGGTCACCGGTTGACCTAGGACCCTAAAATCGGGTACCAATCTCTGCGTCTCGTAACGGCGCACACGCTCGGTTTTTTCGCGACGCGCTAGCTTTACCAGGGGCGAAACGGCGAGAGGGGGTCGTACCAGCCCCCTCCCCCCCTCCTCGGCCGGCGCGTATGTAGAAAACCAATAGGTCCGGCGAGGGTTAAGCTAACAAATACGACACCAATATAGCAGACCGACCGCCGAAAGCTCCGTCCGTGGCCGGTCAGACATGAGACAGACCGAGAGCGTGAGCGAATCAATCAGGGTCATAACACGCTCCTGGGTGTATAGGACTATAGGTCCATCGTTAGTATGAGCTGTGCTGTTGTTGGTTGCACCGAAAACGTATTTGAATATTTGAGTATATTTTTCATTGTATCCTGTTCTCTCGGCTTCCAGCCCTAAACGGTATGTAATCGTAAAATGATGTCCATGATTTCAAGAATGTCTGAAACAAATCGTGAAATAAAAAGTTGCTGCGCTTTCAACATGATTTTGCAAAAGGCCGTCGCCTCATCCACCAGGTGGGAAACCGCCCGGACCGGAAAGGAAGCGCCAGGGGGGGGGGGGGTGGAAGGGTTTGTCCGTTTGTCCTGAGGACAGCGAAGACGGATGAACCGTGGATCCCCTATGCCGAATCACCCGGTGGTAACAACTCCTATATAGACAGAGACTGACTGCACAGTGCATGTCCAGCCCCGCCGGGCGGCAGGGCTGGGGTCGCCATCCACCGACTAACCGCCCCGCAGTGGCTCTCAAACCTGAGCCGGCTCCCAGTGGCCCGTGAGAAGTGAAGGTACCAAAACAACATCTCCGACCTTCCAAAGCAGCTCCCGACTCGTCTGCCGCTCACCGCGCCGGTGAAAGTGCGCACTAAAGGCGACAAATCGCCACGCCGATTGTGGATTGCTCTTGATCGTCAATACATACATACATACATACAATGCCTGGAAAGCCGGCGGCAGATCACCTCTGTCGCCACCCGGCCGAGCGGTAAGGGCGATATTGACAGGCTAGCGCAGCGACAGACCGGCCTTACGAGCTGTCAGCGGCGCGGCGGCCCGTTTCTGCTGTGTTCCGCTCAGTCTCAGCTGCTGTGTGCAACTAAGAGGACGTAGCAATAGCGTCGCACGTGCCAGAGTGTAATGAGCTGCTGAAATCACTGACAGCTTCAGACTTCAGACGACTTCATGTCGGAGGAGAAAGGTCAGTGGCAGGTCGGTGGCTGTGGCTGTGGGTGCCGCAGTGGGGGTCGTCTGGTCACCCTGCGGCAGAACGCCGCGCTACATGTAGGCATTATGTCCACCGCAGTCTTCATCACGTCTTGTAGGCACCGTCCTAGGAGCCAGGACTTGGGAGTCATGTTTGTTATTATAGGTATGTGAACTATCAGCAGAGGCGGATCTAGCTCAGTTTTTTTTTGGGGGGGGGGGGCAAACCATAACAATTTATCGATTCTTTCCATGCATTGTCCATAGGCGTAATGTTAAAATTATGGCGTTTGGGGGGGGGGGGCAAATGCCCATTTTGCCCCTCCCCCTGGATCCGCCACTGACTATCAGTTTGTTCGGTCTATTCTTCATACGGAAGAAAAAGAAAAACAGGGGCGGCGCTTGGGTTAACCCTACCCGGCCGAGGGGAGGGGGCGGGTGCCCTCTCCCCCCCCCAGTTTTTGTTTGCGATAGCTCCGAACACGCCGGTGACAGCGAGCTGAAACTTGACATACCTGACCTGTGATTAGCTGGATCCTGTGACACCAACTGCATTTTAACCCGCGCCCCAGTGCACACTGGTCGGAAACGCCCTCACGAGAGGCCACGGGCGATTCCGGAGTTTCGGATTATTTTTTATGTAGATCGATTTGAAATTGACCAAATTATTATACTTAGGCCAAAAAACTAATCCAGGTGACCAAAAATAGCTGCAATCAGCCCCCGAAGATGGGGTATCCCAGAACTAGGAAACTGACGCGGAGCAAGAGGTTTCTTGAGCCGGATATTCAGAGTCTTATTGCTGATAGACACCAAATTGAAATCCCACATATTATGCATCAAAATGTTCGTTATGAAGTTGCCGAGTGGTCAATGCAAAATTTTTGGTATACTTTTTCCCTAACTAAGATGTACTATAGCTTTTTTATGAAGGCTCTCCTACAGTGATTCTGGAATATAACTGCAAAGTTTAGGTAAGGAAACAACAGGTAGTCCCATCTAGTTCCACTCTGATTTTTTGTGAGATGAAGTAGGATTTAAATTTACACCAGGGCAACATCAAAGCTAGCTGCGCATATTTGCGCAAAATTTGCAGGAGCCGCTCTTCCTACCCGACTACCGCCCGCCCCGCCCCAGTTTCGGCTCGGCCGCCGCGCCCGGCTTACGCTGACCTGTGTGGCCTGCACGCATCCATGCGTAGTTGACTGGTCATTAAAAACAGATGCGCTTGAGTTTATGAATTTTGTGAAAAGCGCGTTTTTTTATGCATTTATGTATGTATTGACATCAAAAGCCTTCCACATATTGCGTGGCAATTACGGCTTGCATTTAGAGAGCCTTGCTATTGACAACCTTCACTCGGCTGAAGAAAGTGGAAATTGAAACCTTCGTGAATATAAGACGCTGCAAATATAGGACACCTGTCACTGACGTCGGGTTACCTTGGGCCGTCTTTTTACATTAGATCACAATTCCGGTATTTAACCCTGGCCGGACCGATTGGTTTTCTACATTGACCGGGGAGGGCTGGTACAACTCCCTCGCCGTTTCGCCTCTAATTGAGCTAGAGCCTCGCGGAAAAAAAACAAGCTTTTGTGCCGTTATAAGACGCAAAAATTAGGTACTACCCGATTTTAAGGTCTTAGGTCAGCCAGTGACCTCTTAGGTCAGGTAAGTGCCACAAGGCACGGGCTCGGTTTTAGGTTAATTACTTTGCCCAAAAATGGTCGCACTGCCGCGATTTTGGCATAATCGTGTTTGTCTAGCTCAGGCGCGTTGAATGCTATACTTGGTGTTCGGGTGAAGTCAACTTAAGGTGTTAACCTCGGGTCAAGGTCAGGTCGGAGCCCCTCAGGTCACGAAAATGGTTAAAGGAGGTCATATCGCATATCATTCGATTCGGCAGGTCTTCCTGAGTCCAATGGTGGCTTTCCCGACTCTCTAGCTCCATCTGATCAGGAGTAATTGACGAAAAACTTATATGGCCTTAGTGACGTCATAAATGACGTCACGCAAAGTCAACAATGCTAAAGTCAAGCATGAAACCATTCCCCGTGCCCGAATAGCAGCTTCCAATTTCTCTTGTTGACTTAAAGTGGTGCTAGATCCTGTATTATACTCAATTATGACGTCATAGCTTAACAGATTCACGTCATATATTTAGTGCTTGACATCCAAATGATAGCTTACATATGACAGAGAAGGTATACAAAGTTTTATGAAGTTTGCTTCACTAGTTGTGGAATAACAAGCAAAAAACTTTTGCGGAAAGGCCGCTGGCCTCTCGCTGGAGCGTTTCCGACCAGTGTGCAGTGGCGGTCTCAGCCAACTTCGCCCTAGTGGGTGGGGGGGGGGGGGGGCATATGTTACTACCCACCTCTAACTAAAAAAACTAAGAGGGCTAGAAAGACGCGGTAAAAAGCAGTCGATAGCTCTCAATGCGTACGTGTGAAAGTATTTCAGTCATTTTTCATCTTAGAGCAATATTGGGGTCACCAGAGGTCATCAAAGGTCAAAATTTGCCAATGGTCATTATATTTTTCAGAAAACATGCCGTTACCTCAGGAACTATAGTAGCTAGAAAAACGCATGGAAAAGCAATCGATAGCTCTTGAACTCTTCTTTTGAAAAGGTCATTATCAAAATTGACCTCAGGTCACGGGTTTAGCCTCCAGAGGGCAAAAACTCCAAAAATAGCTGTTTTTACGAAGTGTTTTTGACAATAACTTTTGACAACAAAAAGCCACGACATTTCTATTGCCAGAATCGTGCTCCTCTCGCCGAGACGCGTCGAATGAAGTATAATTTGACCTTGAAAGGTCAACCTGAAAATTTGACCTCAGGTCAAGGTCATGACCTGACCGGAAAAGGTCATGTTGCATATCAGTCGATGCGTCTTGGCAAGACAAACACAATGAGACCATCCCCAGCGTTCTATCTCTTTCCAATCGCGAGTTATTGGCAAAAAGATGTTTGTAGCCTCAAATGACCTCGGATGACCTTTCTAGAGGCTATCAGCAAAAAATGACACCTTGGTCAACACGAGTGGTCCAAATCATTGTGATTCTGAAATATTTAGACTGTTCCTATGTATACATACACACGGATCTAGGGGCATTTTCATTTTTCTCCATTGACTTTTAATGGAAAGGTCACGCCACTGACCTGACCTTAGGTCACGGATATAAAAAATCCGAGATATACAAATTGTAGGCGCCTATAACATCATGCAATCCACCAAGTTTAAAACCTTTCTGACAAACACTGCAGGCTGGACATGATTGCAAACTTTTTTAGGCTTGGTCAGTTAACTTGACCTGGTGACCTGACCTGACATGACCTGGGGTCAAAAATTTCACACATTGTCCAAAATTGATGTACCAAAAGCTACCCCAAGCGGCGCGGCGCTAGGCGCCGCGGTTTTTTATTCACACGCAAAAAATGCGACAGGGTGGTAACATATGCCCCCCCCCCCACCGCCTGGAAGGTTAATACCGCCGTATTTCGCCTATATTTGGCCTGTACGACTCCAAGCTGTATAACAAGCAAATGAAAACAAAGAACGCGCCCATTCCTGCTGCTATGTCCGTCGGAAATTCAATGCTCAGTCGTGATTATCGATATAGTCATGCCGTGTACGACCAAAGGGGCAAAACTGTGTGGAAACCTACTGCCAAAGCGCACCAATGACGCAGTCACGCCTGCCTGAACAGAGGCGGACAGTGCTTTGACCGCCTCAGGGTCTGCAGCAGTGGAGCACCGCAAAGCACTGCTGACTCAACTCAAAAGCTGTTGCTTTTTTTGCAATGAAGCATAATGTGATGGCTATTGTGGGAGGGACTGCCGGAGGTGTTCATTTTTGCATGCGCATTTTTTAAAGATGTTTGGTCATTCCTTTAGACTGCACCTCAACGACAAAAATAAGCCAATTCCATTTACAATTTTGCGATAACTACGACGACGATAATTATGCCTGTTTAGATCGCTTACTTACAAGGAATGTTAAACAAATCCAAAGCTGTATATTCACAAGATATTAATGATACCAACAGAATATGAAAGCAGTAACCACTTATGAAAACAGTAACCACTTATACGATTTACATAATTGCGCTGTACACCCGCTACACAGTTTACAGAACTGCACTGTGTACCCGTTGTATGATTTACAGAACTGCACCTTCCTCAGTACCCAGTAATGAGCCTGCCGGGTTAATAACAGGATGTATGTACACGGGCGGTTGTTTTCCCGGTGTGAATCTCGGTCCATTCGGCGAGCGGTGCAGCCACTTTCCTGATCGGTGTGTATCCGGCCGGGGCGGCCCAGTTCGGCCCAGCTGACTGCTGAGACAGCTCGACATGTTACTCTGCCGTGGCTAACCTGAGGGAGCACTGGTCAGGGATAATTGATCGGTTGTTACCCTGCTTTGGTCATGGATCATTGGTCGGTTGTTACCCTGCTTTGTCAGGGATAATTGGTCGGCTGTTACCCTGCCGTGGTTAACCTGAGGGATCACTGGTCAGGGATCATTGGTCGGTTGTTACCCTGCTTTGTCAGGGATAATTGGTCGGCTGTTACCCTGCCGTGGTTAACCTGAGGGATCACTGGTCAGGGATAATTGGTCGGTTGTTACCCTGCCGTGGTTACACAGAGGGATCACTGTTCAGGGATCATCGGTCGGTTGTTACCCTGCCGTGGTTAACCTGAGGGATCACTGGTCAGGGATAATTGGTCGGTTGTTACCCTGCCGTGGTTACACAGAGGGATCACTGTTCAGGGATCATCGGTCGGTTGTTACCCTGCCGTGGTTAACCTGAGGGATCACTGGTCAGGGATAATTGGTCGGTTGTTACCCTGCCGTGGTTACACAGAGGGATCACTGTTCAGGGATCATCGGTCGGTTGTTACCCTGCCGTGGTTAACCTGAGGGATCACTGGTCAGGGATAATTGGTCGGTTGTTACCCTGCCGTGGTTACACAGAGGGATCACTGTTCAGGGATCATCGGTCGGTTGTTACCCTGCCGTGGTTAACCTGAGGGATCACTGGTCAGGGATCATTGGTCGTTTGTTACCCTGCTTTGTCAGGGATAATTGGTCGGCTGTTACCCTGCCGTGGTCAGGGATCATTGGTCGGTTGTTACCCTGCCGTGGTTACAAAGAGGGATCACTGGTCAGGGATCATTGGTCGGTTTTTACCCAGTCCGTCAGTCCCGGTCAGTCCCGGTCAGTCCCGGTCCCGGCCAGTCCCGGTCAGTCCCGGTCAGTCCCGGTCAGTCCCGGTCAGTCCCAGTCCCGGTCAGTCCGTCAGTCCCGGCCAGTCCCGGTCCCGGTCAGTCCCGGTCAGTCCCAGTCCCGGTCAGTCCCGGCCAGTCCCAGTCAGTCCCGGTCAGTCCCGGTCCCGGTCAGTCCCGGTCCCAGTCCCGGTCAGTGCCAGTCCCGGTCAGTCCCGGCCAGTCCCGGTCAGTCCCGGTCAGTCCCGGTCAGTCCCAGTCCCGGTCAGTCCCGGTCAGTCCCGGCCAGTCCCGGTCAGTCCCGGTCAGTCCCGGTCAGTCCCAGTCCCGGTCAGTCCCAGTCAGTCCCGGCCAGTGCGGCTGCGGTTCATCTTGATACAAGTCCCGCCGGTATGTTCCCTTCAGTTTCATCACGGGCCACGGTCAGCAGTGACACGCAATATGTCATGACACGGACAGAAGAGTTCAGTGACACGCAATATGTCATGACACGGACAGAAGAGTTCAGTGACACGCAATATGTCATGACACGGACAGAAGAGTTCAGTGACATGCAATATGTCATGACACGGACAGAAGAGTTCAGTGACACGTGGTGTGTCACAACTTGCGGTCACCTTTCTCCAGAACAAACGCCGGCCGCTGCGCCGTCCCAGCTGTATTGTGCCCCCCCCCCCCCACAGCTGTGTTGTGCCGCGCACTGCTGTTTTGTGCCGCCCACAGCAGTATTGTGCCGCGCAGTGCTGTTTTGTGCCGCGCACAGCAGTATTGTGCCGCACACAATGCAGCAGTCACGTCTTGGTCGATGGATATTGAGTCGGGCGCGGCCGGTGCCACAGCGGTGGAAAGCTGCCACCGCTGGCACCGCGGTGCGGTGGCGTAGCGTGCTGCTGGCTCTGGTTTCACTCCCGGTCTGAGGGAGATCTAGGGAGTCTGCGGAGGTCTGTGGAGTCTGTAGAGTCTGAGTCTGTGGAGTCTGTGGTGGCCTGTAGTAGTCTGTAGTAGTCTGTGATGGATTGTGGAAGTCCGTGTAGGTCTGTGGAGTCCGTGGAAGCCTTTAGTAGTCTGTAGTAGTCTGTGGAGCCTGTGGAGGTCTATGTAATTCAGTTGAGTACTGAATTTCAGTGCGCGAGTAATAAGTAATAAGCGGGCGCCGGAAGTACAGTCATGTGACCGATGTGCTGAAAGATTTGAAGTGGTTGAGCGCGACAAACCTAGCCCGTTATCACAGAATATGTATCGTGCGAACCATTCGACAAACTGGACAGCCGACGAATATCGCATCCAGGATGGAAACCGCAGACGATCACGGCCATAACACCCGGTACGCACAGCGGTTGCGTCTACCTCGGATACGCACCGAGGCGGGTAGAAGGCAGTTAGTGTATAGCGGTGCCAATGCATTCAATGAGTTCTGTGCGACGTATGATGGCCAGTCGTCCTTTAAACGAGCAGTCAGGGCGCACCTGCTGGCGACCCAGACATAATCGCCATAGTTAACGGTGTAGTGAATCTTCCCGATGATGACGTGAATTTCTGATGTAGTTATGTATGATGAGTGTGTGTTCTCCATCTCCCGTTTTACCATTTCCACGTGCGTTGGTGAAAAGCCGCATGAGAGCGGATTCGACGTGAATAAACGAACTTGAACTTGAACTATGTAGGACTGTGGAGTCTGTGATGGCCTGTAGTAGTCTGTAGTAGTCTGTGGTAGTTTGTGGAGGTCTGTGGAGGTCTGTGGAGTCCCTGGAGGTTTCTTTAGGTCTGCGGGGGGTCTGCAGTCGTCTCTGGAGATCTCTGGCGTTCCGTGCAGTCTGTGGAGTCTGTGTAGCTCTCTGGCGTTCCGTGCAGTCTGTGGCGTTCCGTGCAGTCCGTGGCGTTCCGTGCAGTCTGTGGTAGTCTGTGTAGCTCTCTGGCGTTCCGTGCAGTCTGTGGAGTCTGTGTAGCTCTCTGGCGTTCCGTGCAGTCTGTGGCGTTCCGTGCAGTCCGTGGCGTTCCGTGCAGTCTGTGGTAGTCTGTGTAGCTCTCTGGCGTTCCGTGCAGTCTGTGTAGCTCTCTGGCGTTCCGTGCAGTCTGTGGTAGTCTGTGTAGCTCTCTGGCGTTCCGTGCGGTCTGTGGCGTTCCGTGCAGTCTGTGGTAGCTCACCTCCGAGAGCTGCACGGCGCCTCTCTCCGTTCGTCCGGGCGGGTTTTTACCGCTCACCCGGCCACCGGCTCAGAAACCGGTTAGCGCTCTGTCGTCCGGTGGATGAGACAGCGGGCGGGTGGCAGCCCCTGCCGGTTCGGCACGCCTCGTCCACCCGCAGCTCGGCCAGCTCAGAGACCTGATACAGTGAATGCAAGGCAGCCAATGTCAGCCGTCTTACCCAAGGCCGCAAAAAGTACCTACCTACGTCATAACTCTCAGCAAGGAATCGTAGCTCTCTTCGGTTTTAGAGAATCATGTTTACCACAAAATACAAACCTAGAAACATTCTCCATAAGTTAAGTGTTAACTCCCACAAACCGATCATCAAATTAGCTTGCTTCTTTACCCGCGCCCCACTGGGGGGGGGGGGGGCTATTCATAGCCCCCCCCCCTCCAGTTTTTCTACAATAACTTCCAAACCGCTCGTATCGACGCCAAACTTTCAGTACCTTCGGCTGCATCAATTTGACACCTTGTGTCAAAATATGAACTTCGTAGCTACCATAGGTCGGCCGGAAATGACGTCAGAGTGACGTCATGTTCGGCCGATTTCGACGCAAAACATCGAACCAGGGCAATCGCTCCCAGAGCTCAGTTTTTAAGCTAGATCCAATTTTTTTTTGCATGAAAATACTCAGAATAGACTGCGCTACCAAACTGCCTTCTCGGACTTTCAAAATTTTGAAAATTTTGGAAATTTTATAAAATGAAATTCAAATTTTTTTTTATATTTTTTCAAAAAAGTTTTTTACTTTTCGAAAAAGGAATATATGTGATAGAACGCATGCTTATGACTTACTCTAGCAATTTTTAGCTAAATATTTTCAAAAAAAGCCAAGCTATACGCATTATTGCAAAAAACTCACAATTATTAATTTTTCAAATCAATTTTTCAGTACGTATTTGACATCGAACACCAATATAAATAGCACCATCGTGTTCCTGAGCTCAAACTTCATCTAATGAACGCCTTTTTCGTTGAAAAATTTTAACTTCAAAATTTGACCTTTTTTGACCTGAAAGTGACCTGACCTAAGCTGAATTAGACTCAAAATGACTTCAAATGACTCAGACGAGATTAAATTCGAAATCTATGGCCCAAATGGACCATAAAACATGTGGCACATGACCGACGCATGATATAATATTTCCATGACCTGTGATGACCTGACTCTGACCTGAAAATCAAATTACAAGTTTGGTACCCTCAGGGTATCTAGAGCATCTGTTCACGAGTGTATAAACAAAAAATGAGCTTGATCTGAATTGTAAGACGGCGGCCAGAGCCCAAAATGTGAACAAGCCAAAATGCTAATAATTTTTAATTTGACCTGACCTGTGACGTCATCGGTGACCTCGAGGGCAATGAAATTAGGTTTCGCTCGACAGTTTTTCCGGAGCTATCAGACGCCGTTTGAATTTTGACGATCGGCCCAGTAGTTTCAGAGTTAGGAGGGGGGGGGGCTATGAAGAGCCCTCCCCCCCCCAGTAGGGCGTGTTATACGCAGACCCCAGTGGGGCGCGGGTTAAATGTGAACTGCATTGTGTATGGAACTATCGGTTGAATACTGCAGAGAGCAGCATCTGCCCCGCTAACACCTTCCGTCTAGCACAAGCAAACACTGCATGCGCTCTTCGTCTATTCGAACAGTACAGTCTGTCACAAACAGACAATGCTCAAAACATCAACAAAACATCAATGCTCAGGCGCTCTCAACAGCGCAAAGCTTAGCTTTCGAAAGCATAAGTTGGCAAGCTATCCATCCAAAGAGCAAAATATATCCGTAGCACTGGGTCGCACGACCCCGGACACTCGGCTGTGTCATGCCGGTGACTCTGTGACCTCTGCCGGGTCACGGCCGGTGACTCTGTGACCTCTGCCGGGTCACGGCCGGGAGGGGTGTGACCTCTGCCGGGTCACGGCCGGGAGGGGTGTGACCTCTGCCGGGTCACGGCCGGGACGGGGCGCCGCTCCCGCTGACCCACCCTCTCCGGTGGCTGTGACACTGGCAGCGGGCCGTCGTGTGCCACCCGCTGCCCACGGCCTCAGACACCCCCAGGCTCCACATATACACTGAGAAGCCGATACACACTCAGAAACACACACACACACACCCTCAGATACACACTCAGAAACACACACCCTCAGATACACCCTCAGAAACACACACCCTCAGATACACCCTCAGAAACACACACCCTCAGATACACACCCTCAGAAATACACACCCTCAGAAACACACACCCTCAGAAATACACAGCCGGACTCGTACACAGCTAGTCTGACGCACGGCTACAGAGGCCTGGTCCTGTGTCAACCTTGAACGGTCAAATTCATGAACCCTGACCCGACCGGTAGAATACTACGAATTTCTGGAAGTCAGAGAAACGGTAGGGGTGGAAAGCGCTGAGAGCCGTATACATCACATTCATGGGCGACTTGGAGACGGCCTATCAGTTGGTGACATACCAGGGAAATAAGCTAAAATTAGAGCGCTTTATTTATTGCTCCTGCCCCATGTTGAAGAGATACCCCTAAAAGCGTGATCTTTTATCGGCCCTTACGCAGCAAGGCAGTAATTCTCAGACCGGTGGATGGTATCAATAGAAAGAGAATGCGTCAAAGATTAACATGAATTAATTAAAATAACATTAAAATGTTAGTTAAGCGTGGAAATTAGTCCCAAACATAAGCTAATTATTGCTCCTACCTCGGCGACGGCGCTCCCCGCAGTCAGCGGAGAAGCTAAAATAAAAGCCACCATCCTCCTCCGTAAGTCAATTTTAGAGCGGCCGAGTGGGCCGATGCGGGGCCACCAAACTGAGGTGAGACGTGGCTAGCAATTGCAAACCGCCATAGAAATCAATATCTTAAGACATACAATATGGGATGATTACTCTGAAGCTGGAGTGAAAGCATGAGTAGATTGCAAGAAACGAAATGCATAGATTGGTTGAATTATGTACAATAGGCACAGCTCAGATGAAGCCATTTCTATGATGTTGACATATAACATAACACTTCCTCTCCTCACCTATGACCTAAGTGCATTGGCAGTTACCGGCATAGTTTTTGAGCACGAGTGTAATTCGCCATCGGACCGCAATGCATGTTGCTAGGCTGCTGCAATTACAACGAACATACGAATACTGCCTTCATTTGTAGACGTTTGTTTTTTAGGCGGTCTTTGACGTGCAAGGGGGCATACCTGTCGACAACTTTAGTTTCTCCGAATTTCAAAAACTCCAAGAATTTCAATTCCTTATGCACTGTTGTAGGTACAGCTATGTTCACAAATTTTCGTTTCCTCCTGTTCTAAAAAGGATGATATTTGTCGATTTCGTGCGTCGCTGATAGGAGGGTGCGTTTAATAATTAGGTCCAACGCTTTCTGCATCCGCGAGTACCTTCAAAAGGGAACAACAGTTTCCATTTATTACACTATGGGACATGTGACAAAATGACCACTGGAACACGCATGAAACGGAGCTCATATTCCTAAAAATGTCTACAATCACTTCTTTTCTGACACTATTAGCAAATACCATCTCAAGTTAGGTGGGTTCCGGACAAAAAGTCAAATGATAAAAGGTAAAAGGATGATTAGTCAACAGACATTACGTCAAAAGCAAGAAGTCAAAAATCTTAAAAGTCAACAGGTAAAAGGTCAACAAAGAAGAAAGTCAAAAGGCAAAAAGTCAAAAAGGATAAAACGTCAAAAGATAAAAAGTGAACTTGCCAAAAAGTCAATGAACAAAAAGTCAACTAGCATAGAAGTCAAAAGACAAAAAGTCAAATGGACTTAAGGTCAAAAGACAAAAAGTAAAAACGGCAAAAAGTCAAATTGCCAAAAAGTAAAAAGGACAAAAGTCGAAAGACAAAAAGTGAACAGGACATAAAGTCAAAATCCAAAAAACCTAAAGGACAGAAAGTCAAAAGGACAAAAAGTCAAAAAACAACAAGTCAACCGGGCATGAAGTCAAAATAAAAAGTCAAAAGGTCAAAAAGTCAAAAAGACATATGGTCAAAGTCCAAAAAGTCAAAAGGACAAAAAATCAAAGGGACAAAAAGTCAAAAGGACAAAAAGTAAAGAGGACAAAGGTCAAAAGACGAAAAGTCAACAGGACATTAAGTCAAATTACGAAAAATCCAAAGGAAAAAAGCCAAAATCCAAAAACTCAAAAGGACAAGTCAAAGAGACAAAGTCAATGACACCTGGATAATCAGTCATTACATACATGAGATAATATTTACAAACAGCTGTACACAATTAAGCAGGATGCTGCACAATATAACCTGCATCATTGGACATTGAAGCGAGACTGCCTCCATTGCGCGACTGATGGGGATTCCCATGGCCCGCAACCGCGACTCAGCTGGTCACACGGGCATGCTTGGCTGAAATCTGACACACATCCGTTGACACTTACGTACTAGGTGGGAGCTCGCTCGCATCATAAGGTTGTCATGAGGCAGCTTTATATGATCTTTCGAGACAACTGGCTGTCCCAGGCGCAGTTTACTGGAATTATTTCAACAAATATAGTAACCCGGAATGTTATCGATACGAAAGGTTCGCTTGTTCAAATTTCCTATATTGTGTAGGGAGACGTTTCTCATCAATTGATTCCGTCACGGGTACTATTAGCGATTTCACACTTTTATTATAGTTCAAGCGTATTGTATGGTACAATTGGTACAATAGTAAAGCGCGTCGTTTCTTTTAGATAGGTGGAAGTTGGAACGAGAGGCAATTGTGTGATTGTCGGATTGTCCTGCCTTGAAAGGAACGCTCATATCAGCATCAACAGACAACAACCTGTTAATATTCACGGACTGCATACAATTAAGGCGACCAATTTTCATCGAAAGGTACGGACTGCATACAATTAAGGTGACCAATTTTCATCAAAATGTATAGGTCAATTAAGTTATCGAGATGCGATTGCTAAAACCAGTAAAACGCCTTTTGGGCGACCAACGGAGCGAGCGAGAGGATGGGCCTTGCACGTGCGAAATTGCGAGGGGGTACCTCCAACTAACTTGTGCACTGCACCCTACTAACAGGTCTTTAGCGATGTGCTAAATTTCAGCGCAATCGGCCTAGCCGTTCTCGAGATCTGGAAGCGGCACACT